TACTCTTTTCAGAAAAACAAAAAAGAAGCGTTGGCAGAAAAATTTGTTTTTTATTTAAAATTATTCAATGTGATTTCGTCACGTGACACAATTTGAAAAATGACGTAAAATTTAATGTACATGTAGTCTGATTCTTTTCGGTTTTGGTCCTCGTTTACTTTAACCTCCCCACAACCTCGATCTGCCCGATATGTGGCGATTCGACCGCACTCTGACACCTTCAGGTGCCATTCACGCGCTCTTACAAATTGCTTTATGTTCATATTTGCATGGGCACCCTTCCCTATTGCTTGCTTATTACACGCCACATGTCAACTTTTGGTTCTTTTCTAAATTGCTATAGTGAATATGTTGGGCTATTACTTGTGAGTAAAAATATTTCCTCATTGCCCCCTTCGGATTTAGGCCAACACTCTCTCGATCGTTGCTCAACCACATGAATAGCACTACATATCCCCACAGTTGATCATACCCAATCTAGATAGCAGTTGACACTCTAATTCATTGTCTAATACATTAAAATTCATCACAATTTTATTGGACAAAGAATCGGAGGGACTCATTATCACTTAGATAGGTGATGCATACCATCGATGATATGTACATTACTTTTGACCATGCTAGTTTAAACTAATAGAAAGAAAATAAAGTAATTAACAAGTCAATAATATAAAGTAGTGTTGTAAATGATAAATTTATTAGTGAACGATAATTGTACCCCTACAATCTTAGAAATTATTATTATTTATCCCTAATCTCTCCATATAAATATAGGGTTTTGATTATCAATAAAATACACATAAATTTATTGATTTTTCTCTTTTTTTTTCCCTTTTTATCTCCAGTTTATAATATGTTATTAGCACAATTCTCTTAGAATCAAAATAAGCTAATTAGAAATTAATAATTTTTATTAGTACAATCATTCGTACATGTACTGAAATGTTAAGCCACTGTACACTTAAAAAAAATATATGTATTATACATAACTAAGAGTTAAAAAAAATATATGTGCACCAAAAAATTTTTATTTATTTATTTATTATATATATGTGAATTCATGTGTTTGGTATCTTTTGCATGTTGATAAAAGATTTGGCCAATAAAAGATTTAGTCAATTCTGTTAACTTCCTTATATGAGGATTTTTCTCCTAATGTATGTTTGGTAATTAATTTTTATATCACATTCTATTTGTAGGTAATTAATATATTTAACATGATTAAATATTTTTAGATATTCCTTTATAAAATTTAAATTGATAATCCATCATATTGTTGCTTATGGATTAACACAACATTGTAATTAATATTTCATAGGAATATTATTTGTTCCTGTAAAGCACGAATTATAATTTTCAATATTCTAAAAAATATTTGACACATTCCTCTTGAAAAATAGTAAAATAAAACGTACTCTCGAAGTAGCACATTATAATTTCCATTAATATTCAAGTTTGATTTTATTTGCTCTCGAAGAGCATAATAATATAAAATCTAATATAAATTATATTTTTTCTTTTGAATTGCATGCCATTATAATTTCAATATTTTAGAAGAATATTAATATATTGCTCTAGAAAAAAACAAAAATAATAAATATTAGTATTATTGAAAAATATCGTATTGTGTTTCTGAAAAAGTAAAAATTACACATATTAATATTTTAAAAGAATATCATGTTTATTTCTGAAAACAAGCCAATTATGACGGAGTAAATGACAATATTGTTCTATTACTTGTAATTAATCATAATTAGGTATATATCAATATTCAAGAAGAATAGTGTTTTGATATTATAGAAAAGTCAATACTGCGTTATGTGAGAGAATAAATCTTATTATTAATAATAATTTACTCTCTACAAATTTAAAGAGAAACATGCTAAGTTTCTAAAATGTGTGATACAATTGAAACAAATACTATATTGAGCCAAAAGTTATATTTGATTTTATTGTTTGACATGATCAATTGGACCATCATTGGATCAATAATGATAAGAAATTAAAAATTCAAATGAACATTTAACAAAGAATTAGAATTTTCTTAATTCTTGTTTTTGAAAATTGGTCATTGATTATCATTAGCTAAAATAGGTACTGAATTCTTTATATTCTAAAAATTTATTAAGGTGATATATGGAACCCTATTATCATCCACGTTGACTATCTAATTATTATTTGTACGAACTAATAAATTTGAAACATATACTAGATGGTTGCATATTGTTTGCAAACTGAAATTTTCGAAATTACTGCTCAAATATTAAATTGTGAGCATAATTTTCATATTATACAATCAAAATGGTATGTCTCGTTAATACTAGTCAATATAAATCTCAACATTTTAATAAATGTTAGTTAGAATGTCGATAAATAGTTTAATAGTATTGCATGTTAAACGCCTTCATTTAATTTAATTGAGAATAAAGTACCTCCTATTTCTGTTTAGAGAATGTTATTATGCATCGTGCCAACATCAAGTTCTCTCTACTACAATTGACTTATGATCAGATCATGATTTCTTCATCTAATTATTTGATGGTGCAATATATGTACAATTAATCCACCACATTGCACCGAAATGATAAGTAAAAAATGTTGAGACGAAATGCATGGTTTGAACCCTCATACTATATCTCAAACCCTAAGGGTGAAAATTTATAACGTAATTTACTGATTGTCAATTTGGTTTGACAATTTTCCCGGCATTAGGGGGAAGAATTAAGAAGTTGAAAATAATTGACAAATGCTTTATTAACTAAATCCTCGCAAAAGATCATTCGAACTAGAATTTCGAAAGAAAAATTCATTAAACGCATTAACCGACCAAAGGGATCAATAATATCTCACACATCAATTTCAAATGTTCAAACTCGAATTAACGTCCTAAAGGATAATTAGTTAATATAATATTTGATGGCATGGTTGAAGTGTGATATATTCGATTTTAATATAAAAATCTCCAAACAAAAATGAAGCAATTAGCAAAAATGATCTCCATAAAGAAGCATATATTCTTGATGAGTATTTGAACATAGAAAGCTTTAAAATCCCAGAAGAGGTTTAAATACCTGAAATAATGAAAATTGAGATATCTCAATAAATTATGTCGTTATAAAATAGAAATAGAATTGAAAAGAAAAGATCGTTGACACATTTTTGCATATGATGTACTATATCATATCATATTATGAATGACGAGGAATTGAAATAAATTAGTCGAAACATATCAATCGAAATAATGACTGACCAAAAAGAGAGACGCAATCCTATATTGAATTTAATAGAGAAACCCGAAGTTTTTGGACCCGCAATCCGAAAGTCTAAAAGTATATACTTATGCGAAAAGAAAATGAGAAAAATAAAGTAGTAATATATAATACACGACTCACAACATAGAGAATTTCTCGAAGATTGTGGTGAATGAAATCACGAGTCCAAACGACACATGAAATTTGAAATACGTGATAGTCAACTCATCCGACATGAATATTAATGTTATCCTTAAGCATTTAATATGCTGAAACATAATTCAGTGAACTATCACGAGGAGGAGTAAATATGCGTTGTTCTCTTTTTTCTTTGACCAATGTTTTGTTCCATTAGGTTTTCTTGGCAATATTTTTAACGAGATAACTTTTGTAGCGTATTCAAAAGAATAAATGTAATATTTTCCCTTTATTAAAATTTTTTCTACATGATTTTTTAAAATAAAGTTTTAACAAGACATATTTCTTTGTGTAATGAATGTCCATAATCTAAAAGACATTCACCATCAAAATAATACTTTGATACGTATGAAACTCCTAAAGAGATCAACAAGAACTATTTTTTGAATCATTTACCACAATCATCAAAATTTAATAAATATTTCGCTTGAAAATGATTTTATTTGAAGACATTGACGTACACGACAATGATGAATTGATACAAAAATTGAAATCAGGGAAAATAACTATATTCTTTTTCCTTCGATCGCGTTTTGTTAAACTGGGTTTTCTTGACAAAATTTTAACGAGACATATTTTATAATGCGTCATTCAAGAAGGAGTGTTGTAAATGGTAAATTTATCAGTGGATGACAATTGTAATCCTACAACCCTAGAAATGATTACCATTATATTCTTAATCCTTACCTATAAATATGGAGCTTGGATTCTCAATAAAATATAAACAAATTTATTAAGTTTTCTCTTCTATTCTTTTTTTTCTCTAATTTATAACGAGTAGGATAATATCATGATAATAATTATTATGTGACACTAATTATTTGAAAATAACTACATCTTTTATATATTTTATATTTTTAATCATATATTTTTTAAAAAATCACTTTTCAGATAATCAACATTCAACAACGGCTTAATTCTATTTGTCACCAGTAGACATTTCTTGTATTCTGGTCTATTGGGGGCTCATCCCACGATTTACCTTCTCCACAGTGCTCTGGGGCAGGACAGTGGGGGACCCTCAAAGTTGGGGTTCAACCTTTTTTTATTTTTTTAAATTCTATTTTTTTGTAGCTCATGGTATTATTGAGGGGTGATTCCACGCGTTATAGGCAGCAATTATGTTATGGTTTCCCTAGTTTGACATTTTTAAGCAAATATTAGTTTTTAATTAAAGAGTGATGCTATAAGTACATAACTTTTTACATAATGATTTACATAATTACACGTGATATTCATTCAAATCTTTAATTCAAATATGATATTTACACATCAACGGCAGGATGAGTGCCACGTCACATTGTGTCAATCATTATATATATTTATTATGTACACTTGATATTTTCTTTAATTAAATACACTCCCCAATTCCCTATATGGAAACCTGACCTGGTTTTTCAAAAACAAAAACACCACCTACTCCAAACCAGAGCAACTGCTCTGCTATCCGAACCTAGTTTAAACCCCCCACCCCCAGTAACCCCATACATCATCTGAACTGCATATATCTCCATCCCCAATTTCTCAGCGAACACTTGAAATTAATCGAAAATGCGGATGAGTTGTAATGGATGTAGGGTTCTTCGAAAGGGCTGTAGTGAAAACTGTAGCATCAGACCCTGCCTTCAATGGATTAAAACCTCTGATTCTCAGGCAAACGCCACCGTTTTCCTCGCCAAGTTCTACGGCCGCGCCGGCCTCGTCAACCTTATCAATTCTGGCCCCGAACACCTCCGTCCTGGTAACTACTCTCTCTCTCTTTTAAATTTGTATTAACACAAGTTTTAGCTTAACGAAATTCTTTCATTTGAATGCTGCAGCTATATTTAGATCATTACTGTACGAAGCATGTGGGAGAATTGTGAATCCGATATACGGTTCGGTCGGGTTGCTGTGGTCCGGAAATTGGCAGCTCTGTCAGAAAGCGGTGGAGGCGATTTTAAGGGGGGATCCGATAACCCAAATACCGGCTGATCATGCGGCGGAGAATAAAAATGGGCCGCCTTTGAATGCATATGACATAAGGCATGTGAACAAGGAGGAAATCATATCCGGGTCTAATGATTTGCACCGGGTCAGGACCCGGGGCAGGTATAAGCGGTCCGGTGTTCGGGCCAATACGAAGAGTACGTGGGCCGCCGGGTCAGGTGAGGAATCGGATCACAAGGAAGTCAATAGGTCGCTGAGCCATGAGTCTTCTTTGAGCCAACAGCGTGAGGCAGCCGAGCCGGTTGTGCAGAGTGAGAGCTTGGTCTCTGGGGAGACTGCTGAAGCTGACTTGTTGGGCAGAGCTGATTCGGAGTCGGGTCGTAATGACGATGAGCTTTCCGAAATGGAGTTGGAGTTGGAGTTGACTCTAGGCTCATCGCCTGTTAAAAACAATGTCAAGCCGAAAGAAGTGCAACGAAAGAAAGCGGTTGGCTTGGCGGCTGATAGAGTTTGTAGAATGGAGCTTGGGCTTCATTTTACGGCTTCGCGACAAGCCGATAGATGATGATCAAATTTTACGGCTCAGATCAACGTTTTTTTTTTTACCAAAGATTATACACATGGCACAAGATTAGGACGAACATAAATTGACTTGGTCAAGAAATTTTCAAGAGTGCTGTACATGTAGAATTAATGGTGTTTTGATAGTTTTTATTTCCCGTTCTGAACTCCAAGTCAGAATTCGTAGCTTAGCTTAGTGTCTGATTCAATTATTCAAATATGATAATTATTTGGTTCGTGAATTACTTTTTATCAATACATTTTTAAAAAATTCACAAATAGAAATTTACTTTTTCTATATAATTAATAGCGATTTGCTACATGTACATTAAAAATATATATAATGGATTGTATAATATGATATGGAGGAAAAAAATGGATGAAAAAGTTAATTATTTTTTAAATTGACAAATGATAGAGTTTTATGTGATATTATGTAATTTATTCTGTAAATTTTGATATACATGTAGTAAGATTCTAATCGGCATTTATTATTTATTGCGATGATAGATGGTCGGGTATTTGAGTATGGTTTAATTAATTAATTGGGATGGATAATTGTCTAATTGGATTTTGAGTTTGATAAGGTTGGATCCAAGATGTATCTTTCAAACTAACTTGTTTAGTTATTGATCATTTAAAAATCTTCAAGTGAACGAGATCGTGATCAAATAATATAGTAATGTATAGAGTGTCGAACCCAGTAGAACTTCGTATTTCATTGAGTTAAAGTTAATAATACATTTAATCGAATAACAATAATGATTTGTAATAATTTTATGTCTAATTTATCACGTACTAGAAATTAAAGTAAAAATTTATCAATTTTTTGAAATGCATTGCTAAGATATAGAATCTCACTTGTTAATCCGTTTTAGTATAACAATTAAAATAACTATTTGTTATCATGCGAGTTGGTCGAAATTCCTCCCTTGTTAATCCATTTTTAGTATAACAATTAAAATGACTCTTTGTTATCATGCGAGTTGGTCGAAATTCCAAATTTATTTAAAAGCTTCTCTCGATTGCAATTAAATTTAATCATATTTGTGACATTTCTATATCTCTATAAAAGATATCAACATATAACAAAACATTAAACGAGCTAAAAAATACATGCGAAACATAGAGGTATATCTCTATACTCTATCGAACTTCACAACACTCATTACTACGTGCTAACGATCATATTACCTCTCTCGATGATAATAAAATTCACAAATAATTCAACTAATGGTCAATTAATTGAAAATCAAACTAAATCATAATACACATTCACGCATTCAAACAAATTAACGTCAAAATAATTAATTAATATTAAAAATTTCAAAACGAGAGTTCATCTATATCTTAACAATGTAAAAATTTAGCATAACATAATATTGAAATTAAACATGTAAAAGTGGAACGACATCGCTAAAAATTGACGAAACGTGAACAAATTTGGAATTAATTCTGTTTTCTGCCTCTCTTTCTGTGTGTATAAATGTATATCTTGCGGACACCAATATATATTAAATTTCAGTAGTCAATTCCCAATTTTTTTCTCCAAAGCTGCTCTCAGTTTGCGTGTTTTAATGGAAGCAAAATCCAACTCTTCTTTTGCAATTTCTGTTTCTTTCCAGCCTCTCCTTTCTTCTTTTTTTTCCCTTTGTATGCGTGTATAATCTCTTATGCTCTCTACAACCGGCAACCTTTTTATTTTTTTCCGCAGCAGCCAACTTTTGCCCAATTCTCATTTTCTTCCTTCCATTCGTGCGTGTATACATATATGTGTATATATATAACCTAAACCACAAATATTTTAATACAACTGAACATCCAAGTTGAAGCCCAATTAATTCCAATATCCAATTAGACTAATGCTTGCTTCCAAATCCTCAATTCTTTTATATAATGCAAGTTAGCCATTGTACTTTATATTTTGCTATTTTTTGCCACCTTTTCCTTCTGTCATTCAATTCCTTTTTTATTCATACAGTTTCACCTATTAAACATAAAATACAATAATTCAAAATATATTTTGTCAAAATAATTATCAAATATCGCTATTTTAGGTTCCGAATAAATGTAAAAAATACACTTATCAAATATTCTCAAACTTAAACATTTGTTTGTCTACAAACAAAATTATAACCTGAATAATAACAAACACACAAGCATGTCAAAGTATTTGGTTAGGCAATTTAACTTTTTATCTCAATATTTGAAATTATAGTACTAAATCTTCAAACTGATTCATAGTCATAATACCAAACTAATATTTACTCTTCCAATGCAAAATCGACGTGTGTGTGTGTGTGTGTGAAGAACTAAGTAGACAATCATGATTTTACAAGTTTTTTCAATTTTCGACCCTCTGTGGTCAAATATATCATTTCACATCTTGTATTACACACCCCTAAACTTGTTCTTTTTTACTCTTTTTCCAGTGTGTAATCTAAGGTTGAAGTTTTCATTATTATCATCATTTTCTCTAGTTCAGGTGAACTTTATTAATTGTAAGTCAATACATCCATAAATAAGGATTCTCAAATTCTTCGATTGCTTTGATCTCCATAACTCAATTAAGCTAATTATCCTTCATCAAAAATCAAATCCCCCCAAACAAGTATTTGGAGCTTAATCAAAGAATTTAGTATTTTTTTATGCACTTTTTTTTTTTTGATTTTCAAATTTATTTTTCTTTTTTTATATTCTTTCTCTTAAATTTTCTAAATGATCCATGTAACATGCTTTGGGCTGATTACTTTAAGGTACCAGATTTTAAACACCCTTAAATGTTTAATAACCTAGGTAAAAAAGGTTTCGAAGAGAATTTTCACATTTAAAAAAATATTTATATCTTGATTAGTGCAATACTCCTTATCAAACACCAATTCAAGCAACCGACCTCCAACTTAAGAATTTCACCAAATTTTATCCCGTTAATTCAAGACAATCCACACAAAAGTTTTCACACATGAAATCCCGGTTCACATCCGTATCTTCTTACAACAGCAAAATAACCCCCAAACTGTGCTAAATTTGATCTAAAGATAAGTAATTTATTATGGTTTAGGTAAAACATTTATATCCAACTATATCAACATATCAATTATATGAATCAACTTATAACATCACAATGTCCAACTTAATTCTAATGCACGTATAATATCGAGTTTTGTAAGGTTAAGTCTCAATTAGTTTAGCATGCATCATATTCACAGTTCATAAATTAACACCAAATCTCAAATTTAATCATAATTGTTGGCCAGATTATCCAACTCATACAAGCATACAACCTAAAACAAGAAAATATATTATTTTATTATTTTATTTTATTTTTGTATTGAAAATTCCCAATTCTTTTTTTTTTTTTTTGTATTTTTCTATTATATACTTAAGTAATAAAAAAAAACACATAAATACTCAAAAACACGTGAAAAGTAAAAACTCAAAATCCCCTCTCCCCAAATTTAAAATCGACATTGTCCTCAATGTCATAAATTATAAACAAAAATATAAGGGAATGAGGAAGAAAAGGAAGAATGTACTCCCTGAATTTTTCTGTTGGAGGTATGTGACATTATGTGTGACGACTTAAAATTTTTTTTATCATGCTTTCCCCTTGGTCTGTGTTGGTTTGAGTATTTCGTGACATCATATTCCTGCACATAGCGGTCAAATCAAACAATAAAGATAAAAAAAACCTAGAACATGTGTTAATTAACCCAAACAATCGAAACAATCAACAATAAATTCAATGGTCTAAGGAAAACATGATAGGATGGTGATACCCTATAAAGTGAAACATGCCTATAACTAATGCAACCTAGAATCAAAATAAATCTATATGTAATGCGGTATAGAAAGCAGAATAAATAAAAGGGTTAGAAAATTGGGCTGCCTCCTAATAAGCGCTTAATCTATAGTCTTTAGCTAGACTGTATGGATAAATTGGTCATGTTGGAATCTTGCAACTTTACACTCATTGCAATTTTTAGTCTTGTATCCTCTTTCTACCCTCCAGACTTTGAACTCTCTATTCTCATCTTGTCCAAAGCTCCTTAGACGTTTATGTTTTATCTCATTGGACCCTTGTTGAACTTCTTCAACAACAGATTTGGCTTCCTCCTGGACTAATGTTGGTCGGGTGGATTAAGTAATTTAAAGATCTTGTGTGCATTCTCCACCCTCACAATCAGCTCACCTTTCTTCATATCAATCAAAATTCGACTTGTTGCTAAAAAGGGTTGACCTAAGATAATTGACATATCGTGGTCATCTTCGAGGTCCATAACAAGGAAATCCACCGGGAATATCAGCTTCCCAACTGTGTTTAACACATCCTCAACCTTGCCCCATGAGTATTTAATGCACCTATCTGTCAGTTGCAGCGTCACATTCGATCTTTTGACTTTCTTAGCTCCTAGTCTCCTAAAAGTAGACAAAGACATTAAATTTACACTTGCACCTGTATCATATAAAGAATTAAAATGAAATTCTTTGCCTAGTGAAATAGGTAAAGTAAAACTCTCCGAGTCCTTGAGTTTTAGTGGCAATTTATTTTGTAGCCTTGCACTACTCACCTCGGTTAATGCCACTTCTTCCTAATCTGGAATCTTTCTTTTCTTAGATATCATATCTTTTAGAAACTTTCATACATCGGGATCTGTCGTATAACATCGATGAATGAGATATTCATGTAGAGCTTTTTCAGCACATTCAAAAACTTTTCGAATTGATCATCAAACTTTTTCTTTTACAATTTTTGTGGAAAAGGTAGTGGTGGCACAAATTCTTTACTAGGAGTGATTTCCTTAACCTTTCGATCCTCTGATACTTTTTCTGTCTTTACTTTTTTGTTTTGCTCAGATTCCTCTAATTGCTCCTCAATCGTGGTTTGTACTTTTTATTTTGTAGCAACCGATCTCTTTACATTAATATCTGATAGTTGAACTCCACTACGGGTAGTTATTGCCTCAATTTGTTCTTCCTCCATGACCTTCACTTCCATTACTT